TCCTCGAAGGCCGTGAGTTCTACATCTTGACAGACCACAAGCCCCTCACCTACGTATTCAAAAACAACAGTTCCTCCTACTCAGAACGAGAGATCCGTCAGCTCTCATTCATCTCCGAGTTTTCTACAGACATCCGCCACGTTCCCGGGGTCGAAAACGAAGCAGCTGACGCCTTGTCTCGCGTCAATGCTTCCAGCACAGAAGTCCTGGACTTCGAAGCTATGGCCGCAGCTCAGCGGGACGACCCCGAGTTGACAAGACTGAAGGGAGGGGGATCTTCACTCGTGCTCTCGGAGGTTGCACTTCCCTACGTCCAGAGCACGATAACCTGCGATACCTCCCAGGCAGCACCACGACCTTTTGTCCCACTGAACTTTCGCCGAGTGGTATTCAACACTTTCCACTCCATCAGCCACCCAGGTGTCCGTGCCACCCAGCGGCTGATAACGCAACGCTTCGTTTGGCCCGGAGTCAACGCGGACGTGCGACGATGGGCTCGGACATGTGAAACGTGTCAGCAAGTGAAAGTGACTCGCCACAATCGGGCTGCACTACAGGAATTTCGGACTCCTGAGTCGCGGTTTGACCACGTTCACCTTGACCTCGTGGGACCACTACCGCCCTGCCAAGGATTTAGGTACCTGCTCACATGCATCGACAGGTACAGCCGGTGGCCCGAAGCTATACCAATTGCGGACATATCAGCTGAGACCGTCGCGCAGGCCTTCATTCAAACATGGGTGTCCCGCTTTGGCTGCCCCGCCCGCATAACAACTGACCGGGGACGGCAATTCCAGAGCAACCTCTTTTCCGCACTTTCAACGCTCCTCGGCACGAAGCTGCAGCATACAACCGCCTACCACCCGCCAGCAACGGAATGGTTGAGCGCTTCCACCGGCAACTCAAAGCCGCACTGGCAGCGAAACTCGACCGCCAGCACTGGGTGCAGAAGCTCCCGCTCGTTCTTCTTGGCCTACGCTCAACGGTGAAGGAAGACCTCGGCTTCAGCGCAGCGGAAATGGTCTACGGCTCAACAGTGCGCCTCCCGGGAGAATTCTTCTCCGACCAGACACCTTCCGCCCCAACAGCCTCCGATCACATCGAGAAGCTGCGCGCATGGCTCGCGCAACTCAGGCCAACAGCACCTCGCATCGCCCGCAACAGGAAAGTTTTCACTTTTCCTGACATGGACTCTGCTACCCATGTGTTCGTGCGACACGACGCAATGTGCTTGTGGTCTAACGTTCAGTTCGGCTCGACGTCCAGTGCTGCTTCTCCTGTGAACATAGGTTATGGTTTTTCCATACTCACGTGATAATATGAAGATCCAAGAGTTCTTCGATAGGATGTTAACTCAAGTTCACCAAGACGAGCTCCCTCTGCTTGTTGTTGGTTGTTTATAGTATTATGAAATGCATCTTGGATCGTACTGTGATGTCATATGCTCCACAACTAAGTTATCGTTCATGTTATCTACATTGAGCCATCAGCCGGCATGACGAGGTCATTCTTGTACTTGATATTTTTGGTGGCAAACTCCCACTGCCACAGAGCAATGACGTAGGTGCCGGACTGTTGATTCTTGATTCTTGCAGTCTTCTTAAGATTATTGTCAAGCCACAAGAAAGGTCGCAAATCTTGCACCTCTGCCTAATTTTTCGGTCGAGGAGCTCGCGCCTAAACCGCGCACCAGCCCCACCAACCACAGGAGTGACTACATTGGGTGTTTTCCAGCCGTTTCCCATGCTCTGGGCACCTACGGTTCGGCTTGCCGGTGCTGCTATCTCCCTAAAGCTTCGCGAGCCCTCTACTACGGGTCGGCTTCATGGCACTGCCGTCTCGCTGCAGCTTCACGAGCCCTCACAGCCTCTGGATTGGCTTAGCGACGTTCCTGTGTCACTGCATCTTAGCGGGCGCGGGCGCGTTCCCGTTTGTTTTCATCCATGGCAGATTGAGACTGTGTTATTTGGGAGTGCGCTTATTCGTCATCATCAGCGACAGCACAAAGTACACGCAAGACCTCACAGATGTGTAGCGGGTACCTCGCTTATCTGCCGAATGATAAATGATTTAGTTGCGTAGCAGGTGCTTCATAGTGGGTACTTTGCATGCGGTTGTGCCGGGATGGCAGGAAGAGAATGAGTGCTTGTCTTGTCTTGTCTTGTCTCCTAGGAGATCTTGGCTTATACCTACATGGGGGATTGGCCACACTGTACCTCATAATAGATCATTTTTTACAACGCTTTCTAAAGAAATAAAGAGAAATTAGGATAGGAACAATAATAATGTTCCTTTGAAGAAACGTAAAATATTGCAGAAGAAAGCGAAAAGCAGAATATATAAAAGAAATTAACAAGAATGAGGAAGGGGGAGAAAGAATTGGATATATCTGGCAGTACCACTAGCAGGCGTATCCTTCCGGTTGCCTGAATGAATTTATGTAGCGCTGACAGAATAGCTCTGCGGCCCACACCCAACTGACTGGCTCCAAACTATAATAGGGTGGATGTATTGACTGGCAATCCGAGCATACCGATCGGTCTTTCAAGAATTATTCGGCGCAGTGAGGCGAAGCGGCGGCATGTGATAAGAAAGTGATCTATTCTTTCCGGTTCATTGCAAACTACACATAGGTTAGTTAATGAAAATCCTGATTGTGTTGAGATAAAAATTTAACAGTGGAACTCTACAGCGAAAGCTTGTGAGAGTCACCTCATATTGACAGGAAAGGCATTTCGCAGTGTTCCATGTGAATTGCAAGTGCCGAAATTCTTCAGATTGTAGAAGCGACGTTTCGTTGATTTTTAAGATTAACAGGCGTTTGAATCGTTCGGCAGTAATAAAAAGAAACTGTGGAGCTACTACCACCACCGGGAAATTTAAAGATGCCGAAGCGAGCGAATCAGCCATTTCATTTAGTTCAATTCCAGCATGCCCGGTGACCCAAATAAACCGAACTTCTGATAGGCTATGCGGTACGAGAGACCAAAATATCCTGAGAAGAGGAGACTTCTTTGCGGACGTTAGATGTGTACATACAGACACAACATCCGAAATAATAATAGCTTTTGATTGCTGATAATTTAGTTCTCGAAGAGCCAATGCGTGCTCTGGAACCCACTTATTCTTCAATGTCCTTATCTTCATCGAAGGATGATGGCGGACATGTTTCGACCCTAAGGAGCTTCGCCCCTAAAAAAATAAGTCATTTTTACGTTTCGGTTCCTCCTGGAGATCCATGTTCACCATGTTCAAGAGACCGTTGTGAACATTGTTCCCATGGGGGTGCCGAAACGTCATAATACAATTGTTTTTGAGTCATTTTGCTTAGTGTCCGTTTCCTTCTACTGCAACTTTTATTCCGGCCAGACAGGCTTCTGTCATACTCTCAACCTGAGCACCAATGTGTGTATGCTTCGCACTCTAATCCGAGCGGAGGAGGATAAGGGGCCCACTGTGCATGCGGAAGAGAAGAGGAAACGCCACTGTGACGAATTTTGAGGGCAAGGAAGAAACGCACTTCCGTTGTTAAAAAAAGAAAATAAAAAGTGGAGGCAGACCTTTCTCTGAACTATAGTTGTCAAAGGAAGCAACACCTGGCAATCGTTAGCTAGAATTTTCTAGAAAGACGGCTTCACTCTGTATGAAGAAATGACCCGCAAGGCACTCTGAACAAGGTCTACAATGAGCCAAGCTAACTAGATGGGTAATCAGCACTAGCGAAAAGGGCCCCCATAGCACACATACGATGGCCTCATTCATCAGTAAATAGTCGAATGCGCGCCTAGGTATTAAAATATCCTATGTAAGTAATTATCTAATGCTCTTAACAAATGAGTCAGAAATGCCTTTTTCTAAGTAACAAATAAATGTATTGTCAAAACAGTTAAGGTGTATCAGAGAAGTAGGAAATTGAAGGATGTGTTAATTCATGCACAACTAAACCTGCATTCTACCTTCTACATAAAATCTCGCTGTCGTCCAAGTTGCGAGACTTCGAAACACTTTCAAAGTGACGTTGTATTAAAGCACCACAAATGATTTCTTCGATATTTTAAACTGCAGTTTAACCTGTGCTAGTTCAAATTCTAACTGCATAATCAGCCGAATGATGCCATATTGTCACATACAGTAATTGGTGAAACGGGAGAGCCTGTTAATGCTAGATAAAAGGTGTATCGTGCCAGCATGGCGTAGAAATTACGCAAACCAGTGGTGCAGCATGTCAATGTAGCAAGTCACAACTTCGACGACCTCAAACATTGCACCCTCCAGTCAAAGCTCTGGTCCCCAGAAGACAGAAAATATACTGTGTCGTACCTTATTCACAAGTTTAGTACACTTCAGTCAGCTGGTGTTTGTTTTAAAGGGGTTCTTGAGTTCAGTCGATATGATACGTACACCAAAGTAACCGATATGTGTGAAATATTGTAGCTGAGGGGTTGCGAACTTCCGACCATAGTTATTGAAGAACTACGAGAAGTATACGGGTCACGAGATATGGTCAAAAGAAGAAGCAACAATGGTTAATTGTTGGGCCAGTGGAGACAATGGGAGGAAGGATGCAGCAGTGTCCTCTTGTCTGCGCTGTTTCATCACGATGTCCGTAAAGCAACTAACCTCGCTCATTGTGCGATGTGTGGTAAAGATGAACATGCTCCGACCGGAGGGCTATCAAATTGTGACACCAATATTGGGACAGCTCTCCAATAGTGGTGGGAAGTGTGATGAAACAGCCTCCCTTTTTTGCTACTTTTGTCTTTCTCATCTTGATTTACTTTTCACGGACCCTTGTGGAACTATACGCACAAAAGAAATCATCGTCAAAAGAGGTTGGCATCAGCCTTGGACCCAGTATGCACACATATATTCCTAAGCAGCTACGTCCACAGCGAACCTGCAACGGTGAAGTAACTTTGGAGGGGTTTGAAGGGGAAACACAGCCATTGCGAGCGCTTGCTGCCTCTTTTGTGACGCGTCGCTCTGGATTGATCGTGCAGGGCCCGCTGAGCGAACTAAACCTGGAGCAGCCGCTGTTCCTCGGTGGACTGCCGCCGGAGGCCGTGATGAGCGCCGACGCGGGACCCCGCTCGCCCGGTCTGGACGGGGCGCTGCAGCGTCTGGTGCTCAACGGGGACGCCTGGGCTGACCTCGTGGCACGGGCGCTAGCCTCGGAACGCGTCTCGGAGCATCGGGGTCCACCGTGCATGGGCGGTGGGCCAGCGGGGCCGTGCCTCAACGGTGGCATCTGCCTGCCTCAGCTGGCCGCCCACTCGTGCCTTTGTCCGGCGCGCTTCGGAGGTGCGCTGTGCGAGCTCGCCTTCGACGAGGCCCAGAGGAGACCCGTGGAGTTTCGGGGGACCTCGTTTTTACACTTCAGGCACGGCTCAAGGTATTATCAGAGCTTGGCGAGGCACTTTGCTTGGTCGCTCCTTTCTATGTCCCATCCTATTCGAAGTTCTGTATGCACCAATAACCTCGCATGAATACTAACAATGCCCGAACGTTAGTCGTTAAGCAAGTGGTAGAGCCAACAAAAGCGAAAATAATGCGAACCTGCTTGTAGCATCAAGTTAGAAGAAATTTCATTTGAACACCTCAAAGAAATTTTTCTGTGTTCGAAACATTTGCCCTGGCCCAGAGATCGAACACGGGAATGGGACCCCTCCCCGGTGGCCCCTCTACGAATTGAGCTAACCTAAAAGTTACAAGCTGGCAGCGCAAAGAGAATCAATATAGAGCTCAAAGCACAGACTACTGCTAGTGAGTTCTGCAGCATTCAGCAAGGTGGCGCAATTCCACAGAAGTTCCGCACTACCGTCACCCGACGTTCAAATGCAGAAGAAATTGGCAGTAAGTCTCAGCAGGTTCGGCTTATGTCACATACCACTAAAAAAACATCGTCATGGCTTATTTACCAACAGACGCGTTTATTGCAACAGGATGTGCAACTTTTCTGGACATATGCGGCTTATTCAGCGTACCTTGCTTTTTTTGGTCTTGGCATATCGTCCTAAAAAGTTCCCTGTAGCCATTTTTCTGGACATAGGTGGTTTATTTAGCGTACCTTGCTTTTATTGGCCTTGGCGTATCATCCTGAAAAGTTCCCTGTAACTCTTTTTCAAGTAGCCGTGTAATAAATTCACTGAAGAAAATCATTGCCTTACGAATTCAACTTTGCTAAAATGTTAAGAGTCCATCCCGGTGCGAGCGCAGCCACAAAAAATGTGTCAAACACTGCAATTACATGCTCTCTTTTCTCTCCTTGATGAAAGCGCTGGAAACTAAGCAGAGGGCAAGGCACGTGGCAAGAAAATACGTCATGTGCGCCGCGAAACTTTCATGACTTTTCTTTTATTTTTCTTCGAGTACTCGGCTTTCCAGTCCCATCGTGCACGCACCTGCGTTGATGTTGTGGGCTCTAGTGCCGGCCGCAGTAACGACCGAGTGTGTCATGCTCAATTCAGCCAATGGCTAATACTTGGCCTGTGAAGTAGTGATTTTGTGCCTGTAGCGTCATTTGTAGAGATAATATTAAGCCATTTTTCGCTAATTGTGACGATTTATTGCAAACTTCGGGCACCATGTTGGGCTATATATTTTGGGTCACGTCTTCTCAGGATCTTTGACTACGATCGGCAGTGCTTCCTAACCATGTTCAAAAATCGTTGTAGGGCTTCTTTAAAAGCTCAGAAGTCCTGCCAGGACATATGCATGACGTGGCACTGACTGAAAGAGAATCAAAAGGGGAAACAAAAAATCGGGCCCTCGAACTCCCGCTTCGCCTCAGTATATGCAGGAAGAAGAGCTCTGTGTGTCGGCGTCACCTCGAATCTGACAACAGCGGCCGTATTTTGAAACTATAGAAAAAGGCAGCAGTCGCGAAATTATCACCTTTGGGGAGTGCTGATTGGCTATTGAGTAAAAAAGTAAAACAGTGGGCGCCATTTTCATTGACTTGGACGTGTGCATAGAGTCTGCATAAACAAGCACGCTATATCACCCTCGGGTGCTTGTGCACAAATGTAGCATTCATGTAACATAGAGGGTATACCTTTCAGCATTCTATCCTTGGTGGATTGCGAACTATTTTTATGTTGAAGCTTTCGGGGAGCGTTAGCTTGGTGTGTTTGCGGTACTCTATATTTTGCCCTGGTCAAATGTGGCGCATACACACATAGTACCTGTTGTGGCATCGTGAGGTAAAAATAGTGAGTTGATGGCAACTTAAGCAATTGTTGCTAAGTGGAATGAGTGGGAGACACTATTTTCTTCAAAGAATGATGTGCCAGTTATCTTGTTCAATGGTTCAATCGAAAACATGTGGTGACTAGAACACGGCACACTTACCTGGGTCTTTGAAGTTCAGCCGGATTAGGTCTTTCATTTTGCTATATAGTTCAGCGTGGAGTGGTCCATGTAAGTCGATAAATAAATGAGTCATACCTCATGATGACGGTGGATAGGGTTGAGAGGAGCAGCCGCAGAGGGCAGGTGTGGCACAAACAAGTCCCAGACAGCTAACAGTAGGCCTAGATCAGGAATATGCCCAGGTCTAAAAAAAACAGATGGGCGCCTCCAGTAGCAGCAAGCTGTGGAAGGGAGCCAGGCCCATGCAATCATCATGCTGGGCTTGGAGACCAGGACCCTTCAATATCTTATGACATGTTTCCTTGCGTTCGCTTCTCGTGGCTCTCACTGACTTGATTCTAAAAGACAGCGTGTGCAAACGGGGATACAAGAGGAAAGTCACGACACGAGATGTCTTCTGTGCATTCTCTCTTATGCCCTTGTTTGAGCGCCCTGTCTTGAAAAATGATTGCTTACAAACTAGCTCAGATCTATGTTCTTCTAAGTCATAGTCTTCTCTTATCGAATCAGTGCCTATAATAATGACACATTTTTAGCGTTTCTATCTATATATATATATCTATCTATGTATACCTATCCGTTTATCATATATATATATATATATATATATATATATATATATATATATATATATATATATATATATATATATATATATATATATATATATATATATATATAAATATATATATATATATATATACCTCTGCTGAGAATAATATTTTCATGGGCCAGCTTGTATTGGTGACGATATGGAATATAACAAAATGGGAGCGTGGTCATTTAGGATAAATACATTTATTTCCTAAGAGTTTTGGGAGGGGTCCTTCCTTCATCAGAAAATGAGTTGAACTAACGTAGACGTTCAAACTTGGTTGCTGTCGCGACCTTCCCGCCTTGAATGATCTTTGTGAGAGTGAAAAAAATGTGAACACTGAGCACAAAACAATACTGTGCACATCCAAAACTCGGTGTAAGTCCACTTCTGGTTCTTATCTTGTGCTGGCTAGTTCTCGACATGTGTGAGGCCACCAAAGATTGCCACCGCAGTGGCTGTAGGGGCCAGTAAGAGAAGAGTGTCCCCTTAATGGTTCGGTCGGCTCTCTACCTTTCATCTTTGCTTGTTTCCCTTCATTGGCGTCCAAGTTGTAGGTGAGCGTAAACACTTCACTTTGTATGTGCACGTGGAGAAAAAAAAATTAGAAAAGGAGAAAAAGAGAAAAGACACTGTACGCGTAACTGACTCATACATGTACAATGTCTTTTCTATTTTTTATTTTTTTTATTTTTTCCACGTTCACAAACAAAGTGAAGTGCTTACTCTCGCCTACAACATGAAAGCGAATGAAGGAAAAAGAGTGAAGACGAAAGGTAAAGAGCCGACCAACCCATTAAAGGGACACTCTTCCCTTACGCGCTGCAGCGCGGGCCCCTTCCGCCACCACTTTTGTAGCAGTCTTGTAAACATTTTTTTATCCCTATGTTTGTTTGTCAAGAACGGGGCTCTGCAGAGCCTCATGGAGCTTCGATGAAAGGGTCGTGCTGTTAGTGTGTCGGTACTGTGCCGAGTGCTCCCACAGCTTATGTGGTGAGGCGGCGTCGAGGCAAGCCCTTAACGTCCCCTCTTGGGAGACCTGAGCCCGGCCTCCTAAACCTGCTGGTTTTTACAATAAAGTTCATTCTTCTTGTTCTCTATCTCTATCAATGTGCAAGCTGATTCCAGTGTTGCTCGGCCCTGGAGGAATAGGCTAATGACACGTATAACGTTACCATCATTGCACTTTTAAATGCATTTCGTTTCATTATTACAAATTTCAGTGCGCTAACGTGAGTGGTGACGTTACTGAAGATACTAAATTGTTGGTTACTACCAGTGTTGTAGACTTTCCTGGCAAATCTGCATTGTTCACGAGACTTACATTTACAGAAACAGGTCAGTCTACCTCGTCACACTTGTCTGAAAGCATAAAATGCATCTTAGAATTACTCGCTGACTGCTTCTCATGAAATACATTCCCACAGGGTGCGGTATCTGCCGAATTTTTTCGGCTCCTTCACTCAATGTCAGTTTCCTATCCACTGGCTTCGTTTGCACGTCACTTGAGCCTTTGCAACTGTCTTGTCGTCCTATTAGTCACCGCACCACGGTAACACCTTGCATCACATGAAGGTATCGTGGGCCTCAAGGCTGGCGTGCGGCTATGCGCCACAGGCTTTCTATACGGGTATGCACTGCAGTGTACGTCTTTCATAAACAGACGCTGGAAATCTTAACGCGAGAGCATTATTGAGCCAGTGTCGGATAAAATGCGCTGCAGGCGTTAATGGCGTTGTCGCTAAAGGGACAAATCACTGTTCACTGTGAAGCAACCAATGCGATAGCAACGTATTGGGAAGTAACGTGAAATACGACAAGGGGATCTAAACTTGGAGCGCGCTGCTCGAACACAAGAGACGGTGCAATTATACAGAAGACGAGCGCGAACAATTGTCATAGTTGTTACTTCACCGTGTTTGAACAGCATGGTTTTTTTTTTGCAGTCAAGTGTCTCCAATGAGGAATCTGGCCGCTCGGTGCCTTGTGACCCATACCCAATCTTTCCGGTGAAAGAACACGATGTACAAACGGCCGCCACCCCCCCCCCCCCACTAGTGCGCGCTCATGAGCAAGGGCGACTCCACCCCCTAGGCAAAGTGAAGGTTTATGCACCCACTCATCGCATCGATAGCGTGCTTTGCGCCTTATAGTTGGTAAGGCAGAGCACATGCTGATAATCTTCCGAGACTCGCGCATCACCAGTGCTAAACAGTGTAAATAACTAGCTCGCCGTTAGAGTGCCGAAGGACGGGCCACGCGGGTGCTGCTCTGGCTGAATGGATAGCACCGCGCGCTGCGGAGGGAGAACGTGTCCTTCTTGTCTCTGTGTCGTCGTTTTGTTCTCGCGCTATAACTATCGTCATGCCATACCAACTAGCCCAAGCTGCCACACTTCGCCCGTAAATTACGCCCGTTGTAAAATATTTCATGGCGTCGTGACGTTGACAAAGGCCTATCTATGCAAGGTCAAACTTCTTATTTAGCCAAACTTGTGGCCGTGAAACGGAAACAGATAACATTAAGAAATGCCCACTGCACGCAGAGCGTCGGTGGTGGATCATCGTTTGGCGTGCCATCTTTTATGCATCACGCGTCAAACTTCCCAGCTTTGTCACTGGTGGACCTGCAAGCTCTGGAATATTCTTGATTGTTTGTATTCTGACCGCAATCTTGAGAAAATGAACTACTACAAAGGTGAAGTGCATCGAACACTGTAAAGGCTATAAAGGAAGGTGTCATGTTGGTGTAGCGAGCGCTATTTTCGTTGCAGTGTCGCGTAACCATTTTTTAATTCTTTATTACACAATATGTATCTACCCTTATGATTTAGCAAGCTGTATTCAAGGTTTGCTATACTTGAAGGATTAAGCTTATGATTCATCAATGCACCGTGGCATGCAAAAGTCCAGATAATGCTGACATCGGGACTCTAACATAGGTGAGAGGGGACGTCACGTCGGCCCAAAGCCATCTTTTAAGTGGCAATGTTGACGACATGGCAGTAAGCCCACGGTATGAAAACGAAGGCCCCCTTTCGTTCACATGAAACCGGTCGGGCTTCTTTGTCGAGCTTGCTCGCTGCTTCATTGCGGCACATGAGTGGTGCAGCTTTTGTGAAAAACTAAATTCAATGCCGTGCATCAATCTCGAACGCATTTCTAAGCCGGAAGGTTGTTTCGGTCTATCTGAATTCCAGAAGGACAAAGCTGCTCTTGTTCTCTGCGGTTGTTGTTAGGATTGTAACGTAGTGGTGTGAGAAGTACCGCAGGAACTTGGAGGGCAGAACTGGGGCCTTAGATGGCTGCCAGTAACATCAGAAAGACGCAGCTGCCGCGAGTCACACGAAAGAACTCTAGCGGCAAAGTGCTACACGCTCTTTTTTACCCTGGCAGTGAGCCGGCTCCAACCCGTCATCAATACGAGGACAGAAGGAGACGCGATACCATCATTTTCATGTGCTCATACTAGCGCCTACTTTTGCGCGCTGCTAGGTTATTGGCACAAATAATAAGCGCGCACTTCCACGCGTCAAAATCAAACGACATCACATGGCAGTATGCAGCTTTTTTTATGGTTAACCTTTTTACCTATTTTAGAATAATTTTGAGTGTTTCAGTATAAAATGAATAATAAACTACAACGGTTTAGAAGCGTCTTTCTGCTGGCTAGTCGGTTAGTCATTCTGCAGTGTAAGCAGTGAACTTGACAGGGCTTGTTGCGTGTGTTTCTTGGCCTGTGATTCATACCGTGTGGCGTGCCTAATATTTTTTGCCATTCACGCAATAACAGCTCATGAAAATTTTGTACTAATCTGTTACCTGAAAACACTGGTCTTCCATTGTTGCTTATGGAATAATACTGCAAATATGTTAACATGTAAAGGGTAGTTCATTTTTTTGTCCACTGCCAGATGATATGTGCCAAGGACGATCAATTTTATTGTTATTACGTTTATGTTTATTACGTGAAAGTAATGAGAGGTTTATAAATACTATTTATAATGCGCACAAATCACTACGTTGACGTTGATGTGATTGCACAGTGTGTGTATTAAGTAGGGCTTCAGAAGGTGTGTATTAAGTACGGCTTCATATTTTTACAGAGAGCCTGGTGTTGACGAAGAGCCATTAGGGTGAGTACACAGTGTCTCTCTATTGTTCAGCATGAGGCATACTGCGTTTTTTGCAATGGATGTAATGTTTAAACTTACAGTCATTGCTACTTACGAAAATGACATTTTATATGATGTAGGTTAGCACAGTAAAACATTTAATAAACGTAGTGATATGCTCCAAATGGTCGAGCTATTTAGGCTCGGCAAAATTTCAGGATTGTTTGGCCCTGAAGTAGCTGTGGTTAGTACATAATTAGCAGCAGAACGCTAACAGTATGAGACTAAGGATGGACACAGACTGCGGCGCTGACTAATGGTGTCATCTATTGGCAGATTCAGAGCACTTCTGGTAATATTTTTTTCTGCTCCATCAGGAACAAGTCTGCTCCATTGGCAGACTCAGAGTGCTCCGTATATGTTTCATTGGCAGACCTAGGGCAGCTCCTTCTCGAAATCCACTCCGTGGACCAACTTTTCCTACTCCATCAGAATCGATGGATTCGATCGGAAGTCGCAAGCGCCCCATGCCTGAAAACAGTGCCAATTTAGGGCGCCCCAACGTACGCTGCTCACGTCGGTTGCGGCTCGCGTCGGAGCTCAAGATTTGCTAGCGTAGCGTCGCTGGGCGCAGCGTGCCCACTCAAGCAAGAAGCGAGACGCGCATATCGCGTTCCATTCTGACCCTGTCATTTGCTCCAGGGGAGCGCGTGGGTTCCTTTGCAGATTCCCGTCATTTCCCCTCCGCCAGAGTGGAGTGCTCCGGCGCAGAGTTCGTCGGCCACTCCGCATCCGCCAATGGATGGCACCAAAGGATATAAACACTCATTACATTCTAATTGTGGCGTGAGACAATACACCAAGAAAATAGCTTAGGCAAGTAAGCGTAGAGTAAAAACAAGGTTCATTGAAGGATCAACCAGCCATTCGCAGATTGATATTGCTCTCTGTATGTTCCACTGGCACATCTGGAGCAGCTCCATCGTGCGATTCACTCCATGGAGCAACTCTTAAATGCGAAGCATTTCTTAGCGAACTTCGGCGACTTTGAGCATATCTATCTATCTATCTATCTATCTATCTATCTATCTATCTATCTATCTATCTATCTATCTATCTATCTATCTATCTATCTATCTATCTATCTATCTATCTATCTATCTATCTATCTATCTATCTATCTATCTATCTGTCTATCTATCTATCTATCTATCTATCTATCTGTCTATCTATCTATCTATCTGTCTATCTATCTATCTATCTATCTATCTATCTATCTATCTGTCTATCTATCTATCTATCTATCTATGTATCTATCTATCTATCTATCTATCTATCTATCTATCTATCTGTCTGTCTGTCTGTCTGTCATCTATCTATCTATCTGTCTGTCGGTCTGTCTGTCTGTCTGTCTGTCTGTCTGCCTGCCTGTCTATCTATCTATCTATCCATCTATCTATCTATCTATCTATCTATCTATCTGTCTATCTATCTATCTATCTATCTATTTATCTATCTATCTATCTATCTATCTATTTGTCTATCTGTCTATCTAGCCGTCTCGGACTTTTGGCTCTCCTGGCCGTCTCGTGAATGGTGTCAATACCGAAACTCGTGTGGTATAACACGACTGTATGACAAACATAGGTGACTAGTCATAACATGAAAATCATGATATGTATGTCATGAATGTCATAATTTACATTTTATGGTCTTGCTTCTCTTTCGGTAGTTTCGTTTACATCACATGTTGCAAAACTGGTATGGTATGACGTAACTCCATGGCGAGCACAAGCGACCGATTCTAACATGGAAATCTTTGCATGCATGTCATGTAAAACATGACTACTTGCTACACTATTGATGTGCTCACGGCTGTTTCGCTTGCTTCACATATACAAAATTCGGCATTACGGGACGTGAATGGACGACGAAGGTATGTGACTAGTGTAAACATGATAAACATGAGATGCGTGCCATGTAACAGCATGACTACATGCCAAACTCATGATGCGATCGTGGCCATTTCACTAGCTTCAAATATACGAAATTTAGTATTACGTGACGCGAACGAACGACAAAGGTAAATGACACGTCCAAACATGATAATCATGACATGCGCGTCATGTAAGAACATGACAACACACCACGCTCATGGTGCGCTCACGGCCGTTTCACTCACTTCACATGTACTACGCTTAGTATTGCGTGACGTGAATGGATGACGAAGGTAAATAGCATGTCAAAACATAATAATCTTGGCATGCTTTTCATGTGAAACACGACTACATGCTACGCTCATAACGCTCTCGTGGCCGTTTCGTTAGCTCCACATATACCAAGTTTGGTATCACGTGACTTGAATAGACGATGAAGGTAAACGACATGCCCTATTGTGATATTCATGATATGCGTGTCATAAAAAATATGACTGTATGCTACGCACATAGCGTGCTTGCGGCCATATCGCTTGTTCCAGATATACCAAATCTAGTGTCACGGGACGTGAATGAACGACAAAGGTAAATGGCACGTACATACATGATAATCATGATATGCATGACATGTAAAACATGACTGCACGCTATCCTCATTGTGAGCTCAGGGTTGTTCCGCTATCTCCACATATACATTCAAACTTTCAATTTTTATTTATTTACCACAGAAAACTGTAACGTCGCAAGCCTAAAACCCATTAGAATGGCTTGAAAAAGGTCCTGCTGACTTTTACATATACATGGCAGTAGTGTGGAAATGATTAGAGGTACATAACTTGCAAGTACTAATATAAAACATGAACAGTACATACTAACTCAAAAAATGATTTCACAATTGAGTATTTTAAAATAAATGTTATAATCGCGCACTAAAAAACGGGACTTCAAGAATCAAGGTACATCGTGCGTAGACCATCGTGTAAATTGACACTTATGCACTTTAAAGCATACAAATTTCGTGAAACACAAAGTACATACATATGCAAGATAATAAGATGTACATAATACAATGTTTTTAACACAAGAATAAACTATGAAAAATACGAGACTATGAGACAAGATAGTGGCGCATGTTCCTGTGATGCCAGAGAGCAGAAATGAGAGCGTAATTTTTTCTTGTTGGAGGTGATCGTACTTTCGTGCGTATTAAGTGTTTTGGGAACGTTGTAGGCCAAGACTTGGTACTTATACGTGGTGCGGAAACGCTTTACAAACCAAATGTCTGTATTTCTTGTGGGAACTGAACTGACATGGGGCTCAAGACATGAAAGCGATTTAATGAAGTTTGAGAGCTCCATATTCGAGAAATAAAGTGCGTGCAATAAGCGAAATGTATAAAGGTTGTCAGCTCGTATTATGTAGAATTCTTGGAAAGCTTCAAGCGGTGTTACGAACGGGTCAATATGTTCAATTTGGCGGACTATTTTTTTTTTTGCAGAGTAATTACGTTTGCTTTGCTTGTAGTGGCCCACACAAGAGTACAGTACATTAGATGTGAATTAAGCAGCTCGTGATATATCTGAAGTTTGACCTTGAGAGGCAAAATGTTATGACAACGAGACATCACTTCTGTTACCGAAGTTACAAACAAAATTTACATGTGTATTCCAGCCAAGGTTGGAAGAAAAATGAACTCCAAGTATATTGTGGGTATCAACAATATCTATCGGCGCTGATTCAAGACTATAAAGGTTGATGAGTAGTGAGTATTTTATTTTTGGCTCGAAAAACAATGGCTTTGGTTTTACTTGGATTCATTTTAAGCCGGTTCATTCAGGCCCACGATGAAATCCTTGATAATATATCATTTCCTTCACTTATAACATCTAAATTAATGCCATCAAGGACTATTACTGAATTACCACATATATCACCTATTTAACTGTGGTGTCGAGTTGCACAGTATCACTATTTTAAACATTGAACATCAGTGGACCAAGTATACTGCCTTGCGGTGCACTACAAGTAAGGGGCAAAAATGGCGCACTATTTTTCTTTATGTAAACACTTTCGCACCAATTGCTAAGATATGTTTGAATTAAAAATTTACCAACACCAGGAATGCCATATGATTTTAATTTCTCTAACAATATATTATGACGAAGTGAGTCAAATGCCTTACTGAAATCCCGAAAGATGCCGAGTGTGAACTTATTTTGTTCAAAGTTATGAAGTATAGCTTCCTTTATTCTCATCAACGCAGTTTCACTGAACATACCGCATATTAAGCTAAACTGCGCATCTATTAACACATCATGTTTATTAAAGAGTTTAGTTAAGCCGACATGAATATTTTTTTAAGCACTTTGAGAAGACGGGAAGGACCGATTTAGGCCTGTAATTACTTTCTGGGTTGCGGTCACCACCTTTAAAAATTACTGGTACTCAAGCTTTTTTCATGGCTTCTGGAAAAACACTATGTTCGAGAGCTAAGTTATGTATATAGGTTAGTACATCACTAAGTAAATATCAAACATATTTTATTGGTGTGATCTGCAAGTCATTAGCATTGAACGATTTAGTGATATTTAGATGCTTGAAGATTTCGCATACTTTTCTTTCGTTTGTTGCGTCGAGAAAGGCACTATGGCTCACGTGAGTACAACCGGTGACAAATTCCGTGCTATCGTTGCACAGTGCAACTGCATTTAGGAAGTGTTTGTTAAAATGATTTGCAAGTGTTGCGCCATTTATATCTTTACGCCAAAAGTTTATAGACTCAGACAAAGCATTATTTATTATCATGACCGAATATGGTATTAATTAGCTTCCACGTCGCACTTGACCATTGTCGATTGGAGTGTTCAAAAATACGCCGATAGTAGACTTTTTGACACGCTGAAGTTCAGTGTTTATACCATTTCGAAGTTTTTTTTAATTCTTTTAAAGTTTCAGCAGAGCCGAGTACGTAAAAAAGTGGGATAACAGATGTGCTTACACTTTATAATTGTCAAATGTTCGCGAGTGACCCAGGGTTTTTTGCCTTTCTTGTAGATTCTAAAGTTTTGAAAAAAAAATGCATAA